AATAACAGCGGTGCCGGGGAGAGGGAGCAGCGGGCGGCCGGTCTGTGCAAACAGTGCTTCCCTGCCGCTCACCACCCGCTCGGTACCGTCACTCAGGACCTATTTTTCTGTATTTATCCAGCGTCAATAATGGGATTCCACCCCGCTAACCCGCGTCTGCATGCAACAGCACCGACAGCAGAAGCGACTCCTGCTGAGTTAGTGTGTAACAGCCTTCGCAATCATCTCGTGCTGCAGACCTGAAGGAGGGTTTAAATATAACGCGCCTTAATAAGATGAAAACAGCCCTTTCCCCACTGGTTTTTGGCTTGCTCTTTCACGCCGCAGGAGCCCTCGGGTTGTGTTGGGGCCCGGCTGTCCATGGGCTGACAGGTTTCCTGACCGCACCGAGCGACTGCCCCCAGCGCCATCAGCACAACGTCCGTATCGCTGCAGCGGCTGGAGGAGCCGGAGGAGGCAGCGGCTCAGCGCCGGCCACGGCTGCTCCGGAGCGGCTACTGGCCATGGGTGTTTGGGGTATGCCCACCAAAACTTCCTCAGCTGGACATCTCCTTAAAAAAAATCAAACTTTTCAGCAGAAAAACCAGCTGTCACTGGTGGTTTCACCTGATTGAAGGTGAAGCGGAGACCTCCTGACCTGCCTGGTCATCACAGTGCCTGAGGGGGGGGTTGCTGGGACCCTGCGAGTCCCTGGAGCTGGTGAAGCTCAGAAGATGGTCGTGGAGGACAGCGGTGTGCCTGTGGGGTCCTTCTCCAAAGAGAGGACCCAGACAGCTCACTCTTCACAGCATGAATGCAAACCACATTTCCTTCCTTGACTATTAGTTTTAATCCAAGCTGATAACGCGTGCTGGCCACGCGGCACAGCCCAGCCTGGCTACTGCCATCCCCGGCAGAGGCACACCCCATCCTGGAGATGGGCTGGAGAAGGCAGGAATGTGTCACTCGTGCGGTGTCGGGCAGCTAAACCTGCAGGAGATGCTGGCGAGGGATGGGAGCTGCTTTGAAATATCACCCAGTAACGCTCTTGGCTTCCCGGGGAGCAGAGCAGCCTCCAGCGGTGCTGAGGGGGTGAAGTCGCAGGCACAGGGTTTGCTGTGCCTCACATCTGCAAAATCTGTCAAGGAAGGGACCAAAAAAGCTCTGAATATTGGTAGTGGTAGTGGTGGTGGTGGTGGTATTTTACAAAGTGGAAAAACTTTTCTTGCAATTCCAAAACCTTCAAGGAAAAAGCAATGTGTCAGTGGCCCAAGGAAGCATTTTGCTTCTCTACAGCAACTCCTCTCTGATGATAAGAAAAGGGGTGGGCTGGACAGAGATGCCCCACGCAGAGCAGGCAGCCCCGTGAGCTTTAGGGCAGTGGCATCCTCTGACAGCGGGCGGGAGAGCGCTGGTGGTCCCACCTGTGACAGGCATCAGCACACAGCACCGGTGCCCTGGAGGGAACCCTGTGCCTCAGTGTGTGCAGCAGGAAAATGGGTATAATCCTATTTACCTGCCGCCTCCGGAGCTGGCTGCGGTGTTTGATTCATGTCAGGAGCTTGGCTGGTGACTCCTGGATGAATGACGCTATATAAATGCAAAGTGTTATTAATATTTCATGTTGTAGTGAAAATGTACTAATGGGGCTTGTTCCTGGAAGATAAAGTGCTGCCATTAATACACCTCCGCGGCCCCAGCACCGCGGACTGGCGCGGGCTGGCTGGTTCCAGCTGGTGGCGGGTGCAGCCGTCGGCACCCCCCTTCTGCCTGTGGGAAATGGAAATCTCCAGAAAATTGAAGCGGTGGGATGGCAGCTCTGGATGCAGGAGCTCGGTGCCCGCCAGCCCAGGGGCAGAGGATGCACTGGTGGCTGCAGGGGGGATGCGCTGGTACCCGCAGGGCGGATGCGCTGGTACCCACCGTGGCTCTGGCTGGATGGCGTCAGCCCTGTCTGCTGCTCGGGAGGGAGAGACGACGGCGGAGCAGCTCCTGCCTCTTGCTTCACCTCACTCTGTGTTTTTCTCCCTCCCTGTTTCTTTGGTTTGTGCCTCTACCAGGTATTTGTCAGGCAGATGGGGGTTGATCTCCACTTCAGCTGGGCTGGACAGCCCTGGGACACGCGTGTGGCCACTCATCTCCTCGTCCTGCCGTCACAGCAGGGCAGGAGGATGGGGGGGTGTCACAGTGGCTGTGCCCACACTCCCAGGAGGGCCGTTGGGTGCTGTGGAGGGACGGAGGAGTGCTCTGCCTGGAGCCCAGCACCAGCAGAAACTGCCCATCACGTCTGGCAGCTCCCCAAAAGAGGGGATTTTTAACCCAGAAGGCCACGAGAGCCCCTTTGGACACCCGCAAGCCTGGGGGTGCCTGGGGCAGAACATCCCCCCACCACCACCGCTGGGACGGGCGCTGCTCCATGCCCTCCCTGCCTGCCCGCGGGGGGATGCAGCCCCTGGGAACCCCCTTCCCGGCACAGCCACCACACAGCCATGTTAAAAAAAACCAACAAACAACTAAAAATGGGCTTGTTTGATTTCAAACTGCAGAACTCTTCCCTGGAGCCATCCGCAAACAGTGGTAATTTACTTTACAGCTGTTTAGATTTGTTTCTCTACATTTTTTTTTTAAAAAACCCAGCGGAATTGCAAATGAAATGTGTGTTTGCTCCTCAAATGACTCCAGCTGTACCTGAGCTCTTGCACCCCACGCAGCAGCACCCGCTCCTCGGACCCCCACCCGTCTGACACCCCCCCGGCTCTGTGCTCCTCGCTGCCCCCCAGAGCTGCGAGCTGGGGGTCAGGCCTCAAAGAGGGGGGTCTCATCTCGGGAGGGCTCTGGTGACAGGAAGGGGGTGACAGGGACAGGACAGGGAACTGCTGGAGAGGGTCCAGCAAAGGGCAACAAAGATGATGAGGGGATTGGAACATCTCTCATATGGAGAAAGGCTGAGGGACTTGGGTCTCTTTAGTCTAGAGAAAAGAAGATTGAGGGAGGATCTTATTAATACTTACAAATACTTAACGGGAGGATGCCAGGGGGATGGGAGCAGTCTTTTTTCAGTGGCGCCCAGTGATAGGACGAGGGGGAATGGGCATAAACTTGAACATAGGAAGTTCCATCTTAACATGAGGAGGAACTTCTTTACTTTGAGGGTAGCGGAGCACTGGCACAGGCTGCCCAGAGAGGTGGTGGAGTCTCCCACTCTGGAGACATTCCAACCCCGCCTGGACGCTGTCCTGTGCAACGTGCTGTAGGTGACCCTGCTCTGGCAGGGGGGATGGACTAGATGATCTCCAGAGGTCCCTTGCAACCCTGACCAGTCTGTGATTCTGTGATGGGGAAGAGACTTGAGCCAGCTTGCAGGTGAGGGGAGTTAATTAATTCCCGGCGAAATAATCAACTGCCGCCCACTCGTCAGAAGGTGGGGAGGGATAAAGGCTCTTCTTAAGTTATTGCCACGGTGCAAAGTTTGGGTAGAAAGGGATTATAAAGGGAGGTGTTTGGATGAGCAGCTCCCAGTGCCTCGGGCGGGGGGGTCCCAGGGCTTTGGCCACGTCAGGTCTGGGCAAGCAAAGGCAGCCGCAGGAAGGGGGTGAAGGGACCCCAAACCGTGCTGGGCACCCTGGCATCCCTGCAGCAGCTCGCCCCGAGCGCCCACCCTGCTGTGGAGCAGCCGACGCAGCCCTTCCCCGCACACTGGCAGGATCGGGCCCCGCATGCTGCGGGTCAGCCCTTTACCCCGGGTAATCTGTCAGCTTATGGGGCACGTGGGGACCTGCCTCGAACCCCGTCCCTTCCCTCTGGGAATCTCCTCCTTGCTCCCAGGAGCCCAGGGATGACTCACGCGGCGCCGGTGTCTCTCACACCGGGCGATGCGCTCCTGCCGTGGGCAAGCACCGACCGGCACCAGCGCCGGCCTCAGCAGAGGGACACCCCGCAGGTAAGCGGCATGAAAACCCCCCTCAGCTGCAGCCCCCCGGCCCTGGCGAGGTGGTGCTGGGGCTGGGGAAGGTGCGTCGGCCGCAGGGAGCGCAGCGCAGAGCCCGACCCGCTGCGGGGGCAATGGCGTATCCTGTGCTGCTGCCAGAAGCGTGCATGGGGAAGGACAAATTCGGGGTTTCTGTGTGTCCTCCCAGGGATCGCCCCGGCGAGACGGGAGCTGCCGGCTCCCACGGGAGGTACGTGCCCGGGGAGCACCTGCGGTCGCCCCAGTGCTGTGAGCATTGCACGGGCCGGGCTGTGCGGAGCAGTGGGATGTGTCCACCCCCAAAAGCTCTGCCAGCAAGGGGGAATCTTGTCATTTTACTGATAAGTAAAATGTTTAAGCAGAGTCGGTGCCAAACGCAGTGCCCGGAGTCTCACTCGGCAGCAGCTCTGCACCGCAGAGGGTGCGTTTATCCGGCACGATGCAATCCAGGGTCAAACCAGCTGCTGGGGTTCCTGGCGCTGGTATGGGGTGATTGGCGCAGGGCTCATCCTGCGCTGCCCGGGCGGGAGAGCGGAGGCGACGGCAGATTCCAGCGATGGGAGAGGACGCGGCGGTGGAGCCGCAGAGCTGCCGGGTGAGTCATGCCCCGGCTGCTCCTATTTGTTGTCTGCCTGGGCCAGGCCTGGCAACGTAAGGAAAATTAATAACAAATACCTGGGTAACGAGGCGAGAGATGGAGTGGGCGGTGCAGGACGGCAGCGGGCTGAGCGGGGCATGGACCATAGTTGGCAGTGGTTGAAGGATGCTTTTGCCGCGGCAGAACCAGGAAGCTTTGCCGGATCCCCGTGACACCGCAGGGGGGGACGGTGCTCTGCAGAGACACATTGCCGGTACCAGGTCTGTGCTGAGGCACGCATCCGTGCGTGTCCCTGCGTGCCAGCAAAAGCCAAGACGGTTCCCCAAGGCCACCCGGGCAGGAGCACGCCTCAGTGCTTTGGGACACACAGGTGCTCCGATGGGGACTTCTCGCGGATTCATTGGAGTCGCTGTGTCTTCTCTCTCCTCGCAGGCTTGCTAACAGTATCAGGGGACCATGAACTGGGGGGTGTTCGAAGGGCTCCTCAGTGGGGTCAACAAGTACTCCACAGCCTTCGGCCGCATCTGGCTTTCCCTCGTCTTCATCTTTCGTCTGCTGGTCTACGTGGTGGCGGCCGAGCGGGTCTGGAGCGATGACCACAAGGACTTTGACTGCAACACGCGGCAGCCGGGCTGCACCAACGTCTGCTTTGACCACTTCTTCCCCGTCTCCCACATCCGCCTTTGGGCCCTGCAGCTCATCCTGGTGACCTGTCCGTCCCTCCTGGTCATCATGCACGTGGCCTACCGGGAAGCCAAGGCACAGAGGCACCACGCTGCCAGCGGGGACAACTGCCGCTGCATTTACCCTAACCCCGGCAAGAAGCGGGGGGGGCTGTGGTGGACCTACCTGCTCAGCCTCATCTTCAAGGCCGGGGTAGATGTGGTCTTCCTCTACATCTTCTACCGCTTCTACAGGAACTACACCCTGCCCCGGTTGGTGAAGTGCGAGCTGCCCCCCTGCCCCAACGTGGTGGACTGCTTCATCTCCCGGCCCACTGAGAAGACCATCTTTACCCTCTTCATGGTGGTCACCACCTGCATCTGTGTCATGCTGAGCCTTGTTGAGGCTGCCTACCTCATCGGCAAGCGGTGCCGCGAGTGCCTTCTGGCCGGCGGGGGGGGCCGCCGGCGGCAC